GGCGACGCTAAAAATGGATTTTTCGGGGCCACAGAAAACAATAGAGAAAATGACGTTATATGCGACCCAAAAACGGTAACTTCTATCGCATTCTCGGGCTCCCAGAAAGTGATACAATATATCTAATTCTCGATGTCTTTCTCGCGGGCTCCAAAAGGTATATAGAAAGGGTTCGAGAATGGGTTACAAAAATACAACTTCTAGTCAACTTTCTAGGAACCTTTCTATTGCTCCTAGAATCGTTCACAAAAATTATATTTCTACAAATGTGTTCTGGGAACGTTTCTGGGGGACCGAAAAAGTTCGTAAGCCCGGAGTGTCATCGACATCGTTCCAAGAGCGCCTGTTTTGCGCCGAGAAGCATGCGCGAAGCGCCACCACAGTATGATTAGAGTGCATTAGAACTTCCAGAACCCCTCTGAACGAGCCGCCCCGTGGATGATCTCGATCCCGCGACGACGGATCTGCTCATGACAGCGTGGTGGTCGGACGCAATTGTGCACGCGCCGACCAGGAACCCGGGGTTTGTAGCAGCGAGCCGCGCGCGCGGGTGAGGGAGAACGTCCTAGCATTGTCCATGTACGGTACTCTACGAGACACGCGAAGTACAGTGCGACTAGTATGTACGAAGTCTACAACAGTCCATCAGAAAGAGCGAACGGTACATGTGAGCGGTCTATGCAATAAGTATGAGCGAGGGACGGAGCGCCCGAGGGGTAAACAAGAATTAGAGGGCGGGGGATATATACACTATAATACGTACGATGAACTTTTGGGGTGGCGCGCGGCCAGAGAGCGAAGGAGCGGATGGTTTACTTGTACGCGAGGAAGTAAGCGGAGAGAGCGGGGAGATCGTTAGATCCCGCGTCACCGTAGCCTTGGCGTCGAGATCCGTTGAACTTGAGGACGACGACCGGGCCGCACCAGGGCTTTGACGCGTGGCCGTTGGTTATGCGATAGATCGCGCGGTTTATTGGCGAGCCGCGCTGCAGCGACGTGGGGCAATACCAGATGTGCAGCGGGAAGCGCAGCGGCTCGCCGTTGAGGCCTTGCGTCAGGATGATGGTGTTCGGGACGCTCTCAGGGAAGTATTCCTGAAGGAGCGGGGAGGGACATATGCCCTGGGAGATCGTTCCCTGGGGGTGGCACTGGACCGTGATTATGCGCGAGCGCTCTGTGTGAACGAGAAGTCAGAAGACGGGAGCCGAAGGGGGGTGTGGTGCGTCAGGTACTGACCTTCGTTCGGCATGAATAGCAGTGCTGAGACAGAGACGAGCTCAGTCTGGGCCGGGGGCGGGGTCGCGATCATATTCGGGTATTGGGCCTGCTGAGTGTTAATCGGAACGCACTCGCGGCGATGACGGGGCCAGTCCTACAAATCGGGATCAGTCAACGGAGGTCGCCGCGGTGAACGACATGGATGCTCACGCTCTGGAGGTGCTCGGGCGTGCAGTACCACGCATTTTGGCAGCGGCTGCACCACATGGAGGTGGGCCGGCAGCAGATGATACACGGGTGGTTAATGAGCGACGTATTCATGGTGAGAATAGTAAAGTAGAGGCGAACGAACGCGAGATGCTGTCGAGGATGGCGAGCACCCTATGGGGCACCTCCGCTCTTTTATTTGCTTGGGCGAGCGGCTGTTTCCGCGTGGGACAAAGGCGATTTTCGCGGTGTTTGGCAAGATCTCAAGGGAGTAGACGGTACGTAAATGACCGGAGGTGCTAAGGTACGAGAGGGAGGGATTGCTTACTTGGAAAGTTGATGAAGCATGGCACGCATCAGGAGCACGGTACGCGGCTGATCACATCGCGCTGGCTCACCGGGTAAGCCAAGGGTTCCGTACGTGAAACGGTAAAATAGAGTGCGGCGTGTCGCGTTCCCAGCGTTCCCAGAGGTTCCCAAAAGGTGGTGTCGGAGTCAGCGACGTGTTGGGTGGCCGCCGCTGTTTGGCACTGGCAGGTGGTAGTAATGTATCACATCCGAGCTAGAAGCGGTGCATGCATTTTTCGGGGATATACGAGGAAGTGTGACATCCGGTCGAGAGGACGCCCCCAGATCGACAACGAGCTTCTCAGGGTGCGGGCAGGTGCGGCGGGTCCTGCCTGACTCGGGTGTTGCAATACAAAACCGCCCACGGCGTATTCAAGCGGGTTTCCCCTTTCGGCCTTCTTGCACACCAGGCAAGTTCCCACGCCCGAAGCCGGAGACTGTCCCCGGCCTCGGCGACCGCGCCCGGCCGCCCGGCGGCCACAGACGCCCGTGGTGCGCGTTCGGGCGTGCGCGCTGCAGCCGCGGTCTGTCCTTAGCTTCATCCACAATGTCCGACGATGGCATGAACATCGACGATGGTCTGTCTCTTGCGCTCGTCCACACTGCTCACCCTCATTTATCATCTTTGCGCAGGCGGCGTCGTCAGAAGGAAGGGCAGAGGTTTCCAGAGCGCCGCAGGTATGTCCAATCCCCGAACATAACATTCGAACATGGGATATTCATGTTCCGCAGGAAACGAGAGCGCCGTCACCTCGGAGCAAGTCTTCGACCGACTCGACTCCACGCAGACCTCAGAAACTCGCGCTGCCCGCTGTAGGTGCCACCATACGGTCTGCCCCGCGCATGCTGACATTCGCCCTCTGCCGGCGCAGCCGTCGAAGGATGGATTGTAATGGTCACCGGTGTGCACGAGGAAGCCACCGAAGAAGACGTCACAGACAAGTTTGCGGAATTTGGTGAGATCAAAAACCTCCACCTGAACCTGGACAGGCGAACGGGATATGTCAAGGTGCGTCATTCTCCCGTCCGTGCATCTGCCTTGATCCCCACATATGTTTGTCAGGGTTACGCCCTGGTGGAGTACGAAACGATGGCCGACGCTCAGGCTGCAATAGACGGCGCATCCGGGACCCAGCTCCTGGAACAGAGCATCCAATGCGACTTCGCGTTTGTCAGGCCCCCGCCCGCAGGGCCGAAGAAGGGTCGCGGACGCGAGGGTCGGGGTCGGAGCGCCAGCCCATCTCGTCGGAGGGGAGAGTAGAATTGTGGGCGCGCGGCCTGCTACGGCCTCCCTGTCTCTCGTCGTTGTGCAACTATCTCCGTCTGCTGCTCGCGGGTCCTACCTGTTCCTGTAATGTATTTTTCCGCTGCGATCTGCACCCGTGTCCGATTTTTCTGTAACAAAATTGTCATTACATATGGCACACGATGCGTGTCCTCCGGCTCGCGCCTTGAGTATGAGCTTACACGACTCAGCATCGGCGGAGGCGCGTCGGTGCGTACCTGCAGCAAAGTACCGCGATGTTTGGGCGCGCGTGACGTGAGTTCTCACGCTGCCGTGCGCGAGCCTGCACCGGAACGCACACCGTCTCCTCCACCATCTCCGTCCCCCTCGTCGTACGACCCATCGCAGCGCCCATCAGAATGCCCAAGGCTACCTCAAAGGGCGACGTGTCCGGCTCCGAGAGCGAGCCCGAGCGCACCCGTTCCGCCAAAAAGTCCGCGTCCGCGTCCTCCAAGATCGCGTCCAAGGACAAAGGGCGCGTGGACGAGGATGATTCCGCCCCCGAGCCTGCGGCCAGTGACGATGAGGACGGCAGCGACGAGGAGGAGTACGAGATCGAGGCGATTCTCGACGCGAAGCACGGCACGTTCCCGGAGGTGCGTCTTCCCCCCGCGTATTGCGCGCGACGTCTGACGCCTCAGCCCGCGCCCGCACGCGTTAACAGGGTCGGATAGGCTACCTCGTGAAGTGGAAGGGCTACGGGGACGAGCACAACAGCTGGGTGGACGAGAAGGACGCCGAGTGAGTGCTCGCCACCGGGCTGCGCGCGCGCCCGGACTTGCCGCCTGACCGATTGTCCCCTTTCTGCTAGAGGCGCGAAGGTCTTGATTACTGAGTTTTGGAAGAGAAACAAGAAAGGTGGGCGCAAGCCTGAGCCCGTGAAGCCCAAGCCGGCTGCGAAGACGCGTAAGTCGCCGGTCAAGGACGCAGATTCCGACGTCGAGGATCCCCCGGCAAAGAAGCGCGGTCGGCCGTCCAAAGCGGCCACGGCGCCTTCAGATGATGAGGCAGAGAGCCTCCCTGTCAAGCAGAAGAAGCCGCGGAAGAGCACTGGCACCGCGGCGGCGAAGGGCCCGCGACGTAAGTCCAACGCGGACGCGATGGATGAAGACGTCGAGGCCCCCACCAAGTTCACCGACATGCACAAATTGAAGGAAGCCGGAACCTGGGAACACCTCATTCAGAGCATCGACACGGTCGAGCGCACCGAGAGCGGGGAGCTTTACGTGTACTTTACTCTGTGAGTTCACGGCCGCCACGACCGCCCCGCGCTTCAGCAGTTTATCGCTCACCGTCGTGTGTGCCAGGAAAAATGGCAAGGGACACGGAAGGGAAAACTCTGACCTCTGCAAGAAGAAGATGCCGTACAAGGTATGCGAAACCCCAGTGTCCCGCCACACGGCTCTGACCCGCCCGCCCCAGCTTATTGAGTTCTACGAGAGCAATCTCCGCTGGAAGGCGACTGATGAAGACGATGTCATGGAAGAGTGAGCCCGATCTACCTCCCCCATCGGGCTGCTCTGTCTCGTTGTACCGCTTCTTTGCTCGACAGTGCTCGCGTCTCTAAAATGTTCACCTAGTTCCATTTCTCTGTACACTGTTTGTTACTCCGTTTGTACCTGCTGTCTACGGCCGCTGTCTAAGTCATACATATCATGTTTTGTCTCGCTGCTCTCAGACCCTGGCCAAATACGGATTCCCGACACTCGTCGGACCCGGCCCCCACCATCTTAACTCCTGACATCGTGAACAGTGCACTCTATATTTGTACAGTGGCATCCATTCCCCTGAGTCAGTTTCAGTCCGTACGCAGCTGTAACACATCTACATGTCATGTCGGACGCAGGATGCGGCGCCGAGAAGATCGAATGTGTCACTCGTACTGCGCGCAAGCGAGTAAGTACTCAAAGAGAGGTATATCACGTATAATTTGTGGTGTATCCACAGCCTAACTATAACATATCGGTAACATAGGTGTCAAGTAGAACAGAACATGCTGCGAAGGTAACGCAAGAGAGGGTGACGCCTGATCGAGTACACGTAGCACATCGTCCGCGGGTACCGCCGCGCCCGCCCAATAAATAATCGACGATGCGGCGCGCGCCGCACGTACGGGGACTAGCCGGCAAACTAGATTGTCCACCAATCACGGGCACTGAGCTAAACGGACGCGCGGGCGAGTATCAGCATCGCGCCGCGGGCGGGAGCAGGCCGGCTGCGGACACTCACCGCCTGCGCACGTACGGAACGGAAAGCCAACTTCCAGCCCATCCGCGCCCGCCTACAGCTCCTGATGCAACGGCGGCGACGGCACGGACCGTGCCTGCGCCTCGCCGCCGATCTCCTCCTTCAGGGCGTGTGCGACCGCATCGGAGTCGGCGCTCTTCTGCGCGTCGTCTGGGGCCGACGTCTTGTCCCCCTCCAGGTCGGCCACGCGGTTCAGGGCCGCCTCGACCTCCTCTTTGCCACGGCCGATCACGACTGGCGGTACGTCGACGTCTGCGGGGGATTGCGTATGCTCAGGCAGCGCGCTCTCCTCGATCGGCAGGATCGAAACAGTCTCGTCACCCGGGGCCGGAGCTTCCTCGTCATCAGACTCCTCCTCAGTCGTCCCGAACGCGCGCGCGCCGCCGCGGGTGATCCGTCGGAGACGGGTCTCAAATCCGGCTACGACATCCTCAACCTCGACTTGGAGGTCGGCGATGGCGGCGACGACAGGGTTGATGGGCGGTGAGGGGTGCGAGCCGTCCTGCACAGAGTGCGCATGGATGGTGAAGTTCTCGGATCCTGTGGGAACGCGCCGAGGATTTATCAGAAATATGCAAGTAAAATACGCAACATGATACTCACTCCGCGCAAGGTCGTGGTAACGTTGCCAGTCCAAGTATGTCACATCATCGAGATAAGCGTAGTCGAGCCCGATGTCGGCTTGGGCCGCGTCGAGGATGCTGGTAACTTCTGCGACAAGCGTGTTGACCTGCCAAAGAGGGTCAACTCAACGCTTATGTTGACGGTCGTGATAGGGTGGGACTTACCTCAGCAAGCTCCTTGTTCAGGTGCTCTTGGTACCAGCCATTGACGCGAGCCTCCGTCTGGTGAAGACGTTCCGTGAACTTGTCCTGAACCTTGGAGATGACGCGGTCCCAGATGACCTTCTTCTCCTCGTTCGTCCGGCCCTCCGTCTGAAGGTTGGCAAGGTACTTCTCGGCACCGCGCAGGAACTTCTCAGCATCCTCGACGAGGTCATCGATCTCCTTCTTGATAGCGATGCTTCCCTTCAGCTCGACCGCCGCCGCCTTGCGGAGCGCAACGAGGGCCTTACGGAGGGCCTTCTTGTTCGCGGCGATGCGCTCGTTGAGCTTGCGCTCCCACTCGGTGTGCCGCCGCTCGATGGACGCACGGTCCCGCTCGGTCTTCTCACGGCGCGCACGCAGCCGGGCCTCCCGTTCCTCCTCGGTCTCGGTCTCCGCCGGCACCGGCGCGGCGGAGGTCTCGGAGGGCTCAGGCTCAGCGAGCAGGTCCTCCGCGAGACCCAGTTCGGCCTTGAACGCCTCCAGGTCCGGATCGGACAGCTTCTCGAGAAGCTGGATGTCTGGGTCCACGATGGGGGTGGCAATAGAAGCGACCGCGTCGGCAACGCGCACGGTCGACTGCGTGACCGTGACAGAGATTTCCTCGGACGCAGAAGCGGTAATAGACTTCGCCGCAGACGCGGACGAAGTGGCTACATCGGCGACAGAGGCGGCTTCGGACGACAGGGCGGATCCAGCACCGCGGGCTGCTCCGGATGCTCGTTCACCCAGGGAAGAAGTGACAGATGAGGCCGCGTCCAGAGGCGCTTGGGCCACTGACTCGGCGGCCGAGGCGAGCGAGGACGCAGGGGACGCTACGGCATCACTTGCGGCTGAAACGACCGACGAAAGGGATGGCGAGACGGCGGCAGAAATCACGGAGGCGGTGGAGCTGAGCGCGGCGGGTGCGCTCGCCACTTCAGATGAGACCTTGGCGGCCGCCACCGACACAGAGGATTTGACGGCTTCAGCAGCCTGAGCGACGGCGTCTGGAACCACTGCAGAGCTTGTGACCACTTCCGATATTACGCTAGAGGCGCCGGACAGAATATCGGTAGCAGATTCAGGGACAACGGGTGTACCGGAGACAGCTGACGAGGCAACGGAGGACACCGTCGAGGAAAGTTTTGCAGAAGCCACAGACGCTTGAGACGAGGCCTTCGAGAGCTGCGATGACGCTGCGCTGCGTACTTGGGAAACAGAGGGGGTTTGCGGCTTTCCGCTTAGCTCCTTGACGTGCTCCCAAATTTTCTGCACATGAGGGTCGACAAATTGTCTTCGCTGTTCACCGAGCACGGCGAGGAGTTGTGCGACGATGACCTTGATCTTCTCCCACACCGGACGCGCATACGGACGCGCGCGCTGGTATCCGTCGTACGTCTTCTGAGCGGCAAGGACGACATAGGGGCGGGCCTTTTGCTGCCACTGATTGAGCGTAGCGACGGCAGGGCCGGCATATGGTTTCAGAAGCCGTTCGTACTCTTGCTCGGCACGGGTCCGATAGGGAGCCGCCTGCGCTTCTAGCTTGAGTAGCTGCGGAGCAGCATACTGGTTGTACAGCGGGATGACACGCTTGTTCCACTGTGGTACCACATGGGCGTTGAACTCCTGTTGCGCTCGGGCGGCGATGGGTTTGGCGGTGCGAACAGCGTAGTCAGCGTATGGCTTAGCCTTCTCGACATACGGCGCCACGGAGGGATGTGCCAGCGCATGCTGGATTGGTGGGATGATGTAAGGGTCGATAACCAGGCGGCGATACTCGGAGAGACCACGGCAGATAGGCGACTTCAACTTGTCGTCGTCCGGGCAGACGGAAAGCGTATAGATGGTAAACCAGAGCAGGAAACCCCGGAATAGCAGCTCGGCAAAGCCGCTGGATTTACCGCCCGACTTTTTCTGAATGGCGGGTGGTAAGTGACCAATGCAAGGAGGCGTCTACCGGATCGCTCACCTTGCCACCTTTCTTCGGTTTCTGTTTCCCTTTGGATTTTATGGATTTAGACGCGCCATTCGCCTACAAGAATGGTCCATCAGCAACACATTCGAGGAAAGTTCAAGATTCGCGATGTATTCGGAATCTTTAGCGGGTAGACACACGGCGGGGCCTCTAGCCACCTCGTAAGCAGCCGAATCAGTCGGAGGAAAACATAGAGGCATGTGTCATGGGTGATCCGCGAGGTAGTTTGGCGTCACTGCCGCTGAGGCATCGGTCGCCGCTAAGGCATCGGAATCGGTCTAGTAGCATCGTTCCTAGCTGCCACACATGTGGCTCATGACTCTGAACTGTGTGGTGCTGGCGCTACCTTAGATAGGTGTCTGCGGCGACCGCGTGGTTGGCATGTATCAGAGACTGTGGTCGGCGAACAGCCTGTCCCAGGGCATTCGGAGTACAGATGCTTCATGGGGCAGAACCACGGTTCCACCACCATCATCATGAGACGTACTGCGCGTCCATTGCCACACAAAGGGGCGAAGGATAGCCCGACGGCTAGCGCAGGAGAGCTTCGGGGCAGCCGGAGACGCGAACCCCGTAAGAAGAGGTCGCGCGGCTCTGACCAAGCGAGAGTGGTAGCGAGGATGCGTGACTTAGACACTCACCGCTTTGTCTACATCCACAGCGGCCGATTTAGCGGCTGCATCGGCAGAGCTTCCATTCGCAAGTGGGCTGGATTTGTCCGGAATGCTAGACGTGTCTGGGTTGGCCCTCTTCGCTATGCGCGGGATGGGCTGTGTGGATTGTGTGCGCGAGGCAGGAACAGGCGGGGCTGGGGTGCGTCGTGTGACGACCATGGCGGGCGGAAGAGAGGGAATGCACCAGGCAGAGTATATGCGTGTATGCGAGTAGACGTTACTAGAGAGCGAGGATCATCCAGCGAAGGAGAGTCGTGGGCGGGGCAGAGGACGCTGTTCAAGTTCGTTGAGCCTGCCCCGCAAAGGCGCCTGCAGACGTGTAATGTGTTTGCCGTTGTTTGTCCCCGCGTCGTCATCGACACCGCCGTCCTCCTCATCTCTCCAATCGACGGCCATCATCCCAAGCTCCCTCTTTGCCGCGTCCCACGCGATGGTCTACCCGTCGTCCAGACCATTGACAACGTACTCACGTCGGCGGACGCGTACTCGACAGCCCAGTGAGGGCGCTTCCCACTCATCGCCCCTTCGTGCTCTCAGCCCGGACACCGACGATGTGAGCTTCGCGCTTATGGCCGAAAGGATGAACAAACGCGCACGTCTTGCCGCACACTCAAGCACTACTGAAGCGGGAACTACCTCGGTCGAAGAAGGAAGGGAAGACAGACCATCGAAGCGCACCAAGGCACACTCAGCCGACCATTCCCAGCTCACGCTCGGCGACGATCCCATGTCGGGTGACTATATGCTAGACGTTTTCTCACAGACTAGTCTGCAGCTGTCCACTCCGTTTCAAACTGTGCCTTCTGACTGTTCTATGTTTCCCTCATCTGCTGTGCGCCCCTCTACCGCTCCAGACCAACTCTCGCCACTCCCTCTAGCCAAAAGGATCCTCTCGCGTACTAGCTCTCGTAACTTCAAGGAAAATGCCGGTCAACGGAGCTCCCGTTCTCTTGCGTCTCCTTTTAACAGTCGCCCTGGCTCTCGTGTCTCTTCTCCGAAAAAGCCTCCTAAACAGCGACGCGGGCATCACACTAAATCCCGCACTCTTTCCCAGTCCGGAGCCCTGAAAGAGAAGATCGTAGATCGCAATATACCCGCTTCGCTACAGACAAACGCGGACTTGCCGCTTCACCCCAACGCCACGCATATCAGCGACATTGACGCACACGACAAAGCTCCTGCCGCCGCTCACAACCGCGCAAGCTCTATACCTACTTTCAGGCCTGCCCTAGATCAGACGTGGCTTGTCCCGCCGAAGACGCTTTCCCGGTCGTCCCCGGTGGCCGACTCTGACACGGAAGGCGACAACTTACGACGCATGAATGTAGATCACGAACACCCATCTTTCGGCCGTGACGCTCCGCTTTACGTCTCGACGCCTCCACGCAGGCAACGTAGCGCCACTGTCGGCGCGTGGGCCCATGGCCTGATGCCTCAGATCGACGCGGAGCCCCCTCCCCCTGTGCACAGCTTCCGGTATGACAGCGAGGTCGACATGACGGACAGCAGTCGCCCTGGATCTCCGACGGACTCCCGGCCAGCCCGTGCCAACCCGCCGCGTCGACGCCGTCGGACCATCGTGCACATGTCTAGCGACAGCCTGTTCTCGTCCTCGCTTGATTTTTCTGCCCTCATGTCCGAGACGGAGCGCCTCCCTGGTGCACTTGCTCAAGAAGGCTCTCGGTCGCGCCAGGAAAGTGCAGCTGCGGCAAACTCTGAGCTTGCGCCGGCTTTCTCCTTGCACAATTCTCCGGTCGAAACCTCTCGCAGGACCAGTTCCGACCGTACTGTGACTTTGGCTCGCTGTGGCTCGTTTGTGCCTGACTCGCTGGCTCTTGCTGCTGACGGAGACGTCAATCTTCCTGGTCCTATGCACTCGTCTCGCAACAGTTCTCGTTCCGCCCAGCTTGGCCCCGGTGTCGACGGGGATGAGCTTTTGGACCTGTTTTCGGTTCTTGGCTTAGACGGTGCGTTTCCCCATCCGTGCCCGCTTCTTCGGATCTCCGAGAAGCTGCACAGGCACACGACCTTGGCTGACCAACCAACTTGCTTCATAGAGGACGAGAAGTGGGGGCCACCCGCCGGCGCGGACGATTCGGGCATCGCGTTCTCCACGACAGGCGCGCAGAGCGCCCAGCCGTCGTCGAAAGGCGGCCGCGTCCGCCGCAAGCGCGGCGACACCATCCGCGCGTCGGATTTTTCCAAACTCCCTGCCTCGGCTTCCTTCGACGGCGGATCTGGCTCTGGTCTCGCTGCTGCCCCGCGTCCACCTCCGCGCCGTGCGCGCTCCGGAACTGTTACGCAAGCGGCGACTGCGTCGACCTCCGGCAGCGGCAGGCGGAAGCACGAGGGCTGGCCGACGATCAAGATGCGGACGACGGCGGAACCGCTTCGGGTCGACGGGGATGATGCGGACGACGAACTGTTGTTGAAAGACGGCGACGTGGTAGATTGAACCTACGCGTAGCGCCACATTGATTCGTGAGCCTGTCCATTCTGTTTCTTGGTGTTTTGTTTTCTCTCGCTTTCCGTCTCCTCTCCTTGAAGCTGTGTACCTGTGACGTCGTCATCCATTGCATTCACTCTTTTTATTCCCTGTCGCAAGTTTTCGTGTAGCTTATATGTTCATCCTCCTTGTTGTCACATTTGTAATCGCTGTGTTCGTCATTCTGTTGTCGTATGTTTCGAAATCATAAACTCGCATGAACCATCTGTCATATACACTCATTCGTGTACTGTGGGAGAGCATGACTGCCGATGAATAGGTGACCCTGCTACGAAACACTTTCAGAACTGCCTGCATGTACGGAAATCAACGGCTGAAAAAACGGTATCGCCGCCTATGCCTCCGTGCTGGTCGTACCTTCGCATAATTTGCGCCAGATGCGGCGCGGAATACGTGCAATATTATTCCCTGGAGTATCGGCCATCCCAGAGCAATTGTGAACCACAGTTGGTACGAGAGATGTTACAGAACCACCCAGCGCTGCAGAGGATACATGAACTTGAGATTAAGGTATACAAACCTTATATTAGGGTTAGGAGTAGCAGAGAACATCCCGTGACTGCAGGGTTTGCTACGAGCGCTTCGAGATGAGCATCCTGTTCAAGAACCATCACCATCCCTGCAGTCCACCAACCGGCCGCCTTATCGTGCACCGACCTCACAGCCCCAGGCAGCGACACAAAAAATACACAACTCGCGGATGAAATCTTCACCGCTCACGCCACCCACCCCGTCCTCGCGCGGCAACTCTCCCGCAGGGGATCCGCCTCCGCCTCCGCCGCGAAGCGCCGCGTCCAAGAGCCGTATGAATACCTTATACGCGGCACAGCTGCGCGCGTTCCTGGAGGCGGCCGAGGTGGTTGACGTGGACCCGGACGTCATCGAGGACCTCCTCAATGATTTTCCGGAAGACTCGCCTGCCGGAGGCGAGGACGGCGACGTCGATGTCGAAGACGAAGCCGAGGACGCACAGCAGCCCGCGCAAGGCCAAGAACGGGTAGCTGTAGGCGCCCAGGGATCGTCGGCCCGGGGCGAGGAAGACTCCGACGAAGATGAGGACGAAGACCTCGGCGAAGAGTGGACGGCGTATCTGCAAGAAGGTACGTTCGGCGTGGAAGGGCGCGGGGCGCCGTTCAGCCTGACGCGAGTGCGGATGTGGGCTTCCTTGTCGTGTGGCTGCGGTAGGCAGGTGGCACTCTACCGCGTGCTGACCCTTCCGCTGTGTGCTGCAGCGGAGACGCATGGCTAGTTTGGAAGTCTGGTATTGTGGCACTGGCAGTCAACGCTGGAGGATCAGACCCCATATACACTGAATCTGATGCGGCTGTCAGGTGTGCGCCGGGGGCGCGCGCGTGTCTGTCTCGTTTCTGAGTAGCTCGAGCGATGGGTTCGACGCCCCGACTGTTTGTGGGACGGCGAATTTTTGGTTATGAAATACAATGCCCTGGATACACAGGGAAACGCTCCACATCATAGCGTTTGCGGTCGTGCGCAAAGAGCTCTGGTAGCCTTTCGCGCGACCCGAACAGCGTAGGTAGCATCTCGAGTATCTAAAACATCTTAATATGCCCAGCCGCTCTAAATTCTTGCAAGGACGCACCGCGCATGGTATTGGGAGTACTGTGAGCTCGCGCGAAGGGTGCTGTACGGCCGGATGCCTGTTGCCCGGCCGATTTCGACACCTTTGGGCGGGGGTTTCGCTCCGAAGCTATCACCTGAACGGCTCGCGCCGCGCGCGGGCTGACACTGAGCCTGGTGCGCGGCGCGAACATGTCAATAAAAGGAAACTCAAAGATGTGGATACATAGAGCATTCACCTCCTCCCGACGAGTCAGCTCTGCGCGTCCCTATCGTTTAGGCCCGCCCTGTGACAGGCGGCGGTGAAAGAGGGGAAAAAAAGAGGGATTCCAAGCGGTACCCAGGGTTTCCGAGTACGATGATCCCCATGAATCACCGGAAGAACGGGTGACTCTGGGTGCCGCGGGTTTCTACACCGAATCATCCACGACACCTTCAGGCCTGGCGCGGGCGCGGTTGCGGGCTTCTGTGTCGTGTGGCCGCGGTAGGCAAACGCTGTTCGGCCGCATGCTGACCCGCCCGCTATTCGCTGCAGCGGAGACCGCGTGGACCAAACAAGAGGTAAAGGACATGATGGTGATGCTCAAGGAGCAAGGTGATGTCCCATCTCGCCCTCCTACGCCGCCGCCTGCTCACGCGTCGCAGGGATGGCGGCGTTCCTCGCCGAATACGTCGTGCGGCGCGCGATTCCGATCCCCAAGCTGCTGTACGCGTTCAATGTCTGCCTCGTACGTCCCGCCGTCCGCCCATCTCCTGCGACCGCAGTCTGACACACGTTGCTACAACAGTGCCCAGAACTCCGCGCCAAACAACCACGGATGCTCATGTACCTGCTCCGCGTGGCGCTTTCCCGCGAGTACGTCGATTCCACCTTTTCCGCGCATTGTTCCTTCACCCACATGCGCCGCCACTCGCCGTGTCTTCTCCGCCTTCTCTATCCCCGTACACACGCGCCCACGCACGCCCTCGCCCATGCCCATATGCGCCCCCGGACTCACACCGACCCCTTGTTCACAGGCTCGGGTCGCGCGAACGGCTGCTGACGTACAACACGATCGACGACGTCGTGCGTCTGATCCACGCCTCGCGGCGCATCCTGATCCTGACCGGCGCCGGAATCAGTCAGTCGCATTCCCTCGTTTGTCCCGGGGGCTTTGTGGCGCTCACTTGGTACGCGCCCAGGCGTGTCATGTGGAATCCCCGACTTCCGTTCGCGGAACGGCCTGTACGCATCGCTACAGGAGAACGGCGAGTACGACCTCGACGACCCACAGCAAATGTCAGTCCTGTCCAACAGCATAGCCCCTGGTCGTGTACGCTGATCGCGCTGTCTAGGTTCGATATCCAATACTTCCGGGAGAACCCCGCTGGTGAGTGTTGTGCCAGACGCCCTCTTGCCGCTGAGAACGCCCAGCTAATCTTGCTATCGATGCGCAGTGTTCTAGTCAGTGCTCGAGAAGTCTCGAGCTATCTGTATACTGACGCTGCACGGACGCGCAGTTCATTCGCAAGGTGCGTTCTGACGCACGACACTACAGACGCCCATTTACCGTCCCCATAGCAAAATATACCCCTCGAACTTTATACCCTCACCTTGTCACCGCTTCATCAAGCTCATAGAAGACAAGGGCAAGGTAAGCCGCTTTAATAGGTCCGATATCTAGCCAGCGCTGTAATTGCGGCCGCACATGTAGCTCCTACGAGTAAGTACATCCAATACACCTCTTTGCACCCCCACACCCACGCGCCGCTCCGTGCTGCCCCCGGTAGAACTACACGCAGAACATCGACACGCTCGAGACGCTCGCGGGCGTCCAGCGCGTCGTGCAGTGCCACGGCTCGTTCGCGACCGCGTCCTGCATCCATTGCAGGGCGCGCGTCCCCGGATCCGCAATCGCAGACGACATAATGAGCCAGCGCGTGCCGCTCTGCACGCTCTGCAACGCCGCCAACGCCCCGGCCGCCGTGCCCGTCAAGGCGGGCAAGAAAAAGGGCAAGAAAAAGAAGGAGGGCTGGGACAGCGACGCGTCCGACGAGCCCGAGCCGCCTGCGTACCCCCCGGGCATCATGAAGGCAAGCTGGCCTGTCCAGGCCGCGTGTGTTGCCCGAGCTGAGACTGATCCGTCCTCGGCCTCCTAGCCGGATATCACGTTCTTCGGGGAAAAGCTGGACGACGTGTTCGAGCGCTCGTTGATGGAGGACAGGCAGGAGGTCGACCTGCTCATCATCATCGGCACGTCGCTCAAGGTGTCGCCCGTCTCTGAAACGATCTGTAAGCTGCAGCACACATCCGTCGTACGATCGCGATGCTCACCATCGTTGCCCCACAGCGCACCTGCCACATTCGGTGCCACAGGTGACGCCCCTCGTTTCGCCCTGTTGCTGGTGATAGTGACTGACGGGGAGGCGCAGATCCTGATCAACAAGACGCCGATTAAGCACATCAACCCAGACGTAAGCCTGGAGCACCTACCAACCCGATGACATCGCACTGACCTCCAGCGCCAGGTCGTGCTGCTCGGCAACGCGGACGACATCGTCCTGCACCTCTGCGGCAAGCTCGGCTGGGACCTCCCAGAAGCGCCAGTTCCGACGCGCAACCTCGACGCGCCGAAGCCGAACCTGAAGAAGCGGCTGTCCGCTGAGTTTGAGCGCGAACCGCGACGCGTTGGAAACAGGTGCGTTCGCGCGCGCCTGTCCGTGGCGTGGCGTAGAGCTGATTTTGCGTTTTGCAGCCATGTGTGGTTGTTTGAAGGCGCGGAGGGCGGGAGATGGGTCGAGGAGGTCGAGCGGAGGTCGCTACCTCACCACCCCGAAAGCGGAGCGTCATCCGCGTCCACCTCTGCTGCGCCCACTCCGTTTGACGACCGGCAGGCGAAGAAACATAAGACGGAATAAAATGGGTCCCGCCTAGCCTGCAGGATGACAAGCAGGGCGATCGGTAGAGAGAGGAGAGGCGGGCGGGCAGAGTCCGCGCCGCCTAACGTCGGAGGCGCAGCCGGAATGCGTTCTTCGACTGAGGCGAGTTCGCGTCCAGGTAGTCTTCGTAAAACCCGACAATGAACTCCTCGGCCTTGAAACCGAAGCGGTTATATAGGAGCTACGAGGAAAATGAGACATATCAGCTTCGGCGCCCAGACACTCATACGGTGATCGAAGGAAAAGTTTGCAGAGGGGACACTGACCATGGCAGGATTGTTTATAGATACATGCAGAGTGATGTCCTTGTGCGGGTTGCGCATGATGAGGTGGTACAACATAGATCTACAATGTATCCCAGATGGTTCACAGAACGTCCGTTTATCAGTGCATGATCTAGCACTAAAGCAATGGAGACTACTGACGTTGCGATCTGAGAATTGTCCCAGCCGGCGCGTACAGCAAGGTACGTAATATACGTTTCCTGCGGAGAGCTGAGGAAGCCAGCGCCTACTACAAGCTTTTTGTATGTAGCGACGACAGTGCACTTCTCTGGTGAATACTCCAGGGCGTCGCTCACTGCATGCGATGATCAGCATATATGCGTCGCCTATATGATGCAACTCACCATTCACACCCTCCCAGAAGGCACGAGCAAGTATATCGTGGATTTGAGGCAGATGATACGACTGCAGGGTGGAATACACGATGGGTGCTTCTGACTCGACAGCTTGTTCGCGCTCGGCACTGAGTGACAAGATGATGAATATACGTCGCTTGCAAGCCTGGATATGCGAAGATATTGCGAGACGTACTGAGCAAGGGCATGATGCCCCCGGATGTCACCCATGAGCTCCATCCACGGCGCACGGGTCTCCCAGTCGACCGCAATTATGCCCTTTTGCTTGTCTGTGCTAGATCCTTGCAAGCGAGAGAGGAAGGAGTTGTCGTATGGCGTCGTCTGTATCGCATATAATGCATCCAGGACCTGCGGATTGACATTGGATACCGCACGCGGAATGGGGAGGGGAGTCAGGGTTAGGTTGCGTTCGTAGGACGGAATACGATCCAAAACAAGTTTTCGGAGGGCATGCTAGGATCCTGAATCGTCAAGCCCGGGTTTTGTAGTGACCGTAACTGCGCAAACGAACCGGCTGCAACCTGCTCTTGGCGGCCAATAAAAGTATTAGGACGGATGCTTGGGTGTCCGACGCAACAGACTCTCGCACGCGGCGAGCCTCTTCTCGTGAGAGGGGTAGGAGGGCCGTGGACTAAATTTACTTAGTTCATTCATCATACCGACGGGACATAGGTGCGTACCGTCTCGTCAAGTTGACCCTTGGCTCGCAAGAAATCCCTCTCAGCAACCTCGTACGCGGGAAGTAGGGGTTCTATGACGGTTTCGAAAGAGTCGCGTATGTCCTCTGTGCCGTCCCATTCAGCCGCGGTTTGGTCGTGCAGCACTTCTAGGAGGGGCTTGATTGAGAACGGCTGGAGACGCGGCTCGGGTGTCTCGACTTTAGTTCCTGCCTTTGTGGCTTTTGCGCGTCCTTGCTGCGTGATCTTTCGCCGTTTGGTCCTACGCGCCTAGATATGCACACAGTTCCAGCGTTGTACAGACGCGATATTACTTGAGGCACAACTCACCGAGCGACGCGATGTTCCGTGAAATTCAGAGTCATCTCCTGAGCTGTTCCAGTCCGCGTCAGAGTCCATCCTCGCAGGGGGCCATATAGAGTCGCAGAAGAGATGCAAGCAACGTTCAAATTCTGCAAGAGGGAGGTGGTGGTACTGCGCCAAACTGCAGTTGGAAGCCAGAGCAAGCGCTCGCCCCATTTTCACGGTCACATGATGGCAATTCCCGGGTTCGCGTCGAGGCGCGTCAGTACTGCTTCATACGAAGACAGCGTCGTCCTTCCCGCCAAAAGTTGTTATTTAATCGCGTGTAAGGACCCTCTGCACGCTAAACGGAAACTATATCATACGCGCATACAGCGCGCAATATTGTTCTCTCGCCAACTTAGTGCATCAGGCATCAGGGCCAAGGCAATCACTGCAGAGACTAGCTGACTCTGCGGCAACGTGTGCACAGAGTCTAGTGGTCTAGCAAGAGACCCAGATCTGCACCGTGATTCATATGAGTAATAGCTTACTCAATACCAGAGGATAATACACTCTACAAGTACGCAGGAACTTGAGCGCTGTGCATCGGTGGTTGACCAGCAGTGGCGCGATGGCGGCGAAGACACGGTGTTGCTGGAGACTTCTGAGAGTGTCCTGGAACATTAACACGGGCGAATCTGGTCGAGTTGTTCGAGACAAAGTTCTGACCTGAGTAAGTACAATCCAAAAACTGTGCGTGCTAAGGCGTACTTAGCCAGGGCGACACATTGCTCCAACGTAAAGCAGTGAACGGGTTCGGGCGAGCCTGAGCTGTTCCTATTCCAGGCCCCGTATCATACCGTGGACAGGCGAGACAAAATCGAAGCTTATGTTCAGGGCGCAGTTTCGGAATGTCTGATCGTGCAGAAGAGACCGCAGACGCCGCTCAGACGCCGTGACGCTCATAAGCAAGCACCATACGGGCTGAGGCCGGTGATGCGTGTTTAGACTCAAGAACGACCCCTTGGTAGGGCCTCCATACCCGGATATCCGAGCAGGGCGGCGCAATGATGGCCTGGTTCTAGTGAAAGAAGCAGATGAGGATAACGCCAAGGCTACACTCGGAGGGCTCACGAGGGAGAATGTGGTTGGTCCGATGCACATCGCGCAGTCATGCGCCTCTCGGGGCGCTCGATTCTGTCGAATTAGGTACGTGAAGCCTTTTCGTAAATGATGACACTGACAGTTGGTGGCTCACAATATGGTCGCAGTCGTGGCGCCGGGGGTGGTGGAATCTATTCTTGAAGCACTTCAGCATGTAGACTCTAAGGAACGGGGTATAGGCTGACTTACAGAAAACTGTACGCTCAAGACGATGCGCATAACGTTAGGTGCATCGATGGATCGCCGGTTCCGTAAGGGGAATCTGGAGGTAATGGAGCAGCGAAGATATCGGCTGAAGGTCATCCCTCAGGCAGGAACCCGCCTGACGCTGAGACGTGTTTACGGCGGGCTGTCCGCGCACCATTTTGCACACCTGCTCAGTTTCGAAAGAGGCATTGGTCAATTGTATTCTCCTCGGATCATACATAATGACACTCAGTGGAACAACGCTCATGCTTCCGCGTACCACCTGCAATCCGAATGGGGGATGGAGTACGCCTGGCACGGGAGTAGATATGAACACGAACCTGAACCGGTGTATGAGACGCGTTCAGTGCTGCTTCGGGCGACTGGTTTACGTGGCCGAACGTGCTGTGAGAACTTCCCCATGACTAGTTCCAGTCCCGCAGCTGAGGGAAGCCCCGTGGGGTTTTCCCCAGAGACTATGCCGATGGGATGCATGCCACTGCCACGGCCGCCTGGACGAGAGTATACGAGTGAGTAGACGCGTTTACAGCACGCGTCCTCAGGATCGCGCCGTACACTCGGAGTTCAGCGTGGGGCTCCCCCACGCGCTGATAGGCCGTGGCGTCGGGTAGGGCGGCGAGCACGGGATAAGTGCCACAGCAGAATAAGGGACTCACTTTCGCAGCAAACGCGCTCCCGTAAACGCGCTCGCTAATATCAGGATTCGGGATGTCCAATACAGATTCCGCGAACCCATCAGCCTTCAGCCCCAGCGTCTGGAGAACAGCTGAGGGTATAAGGGGGGCATCGAAAATCCTACGTGAGCCGCTCGCATAGCGCACCATGTCTCTTCCCTTCACCCCCCTCTACATCGACGGCGAATGGCGCCCGTCCAGCTCCGGCGCCACCTTTGATGTCCATAACCCGACTTCCGGCAACGTCGTGGGGACCGCCGCCGCCGCGTCCGCAGAAGACTGTGCCGCCGCTGTGCAGGCGGCCGGGAGGGCGTTCAAGACGTGGGAGCGGTCTTCGCTCTCGCAGCGGCGCGACCTTTTGATCAAGGCGTCGGATATCCTTGCGACGAAGAGGGAGCAGATCATGACGTCGTTCAGGGAGGAAACCGCGGGGACGGAAGACTGGCTGTGGGTGAACTGTGACTGGTGTGTCGAGCAGCTGCGAGATATGGCGGCGTCGACGATGCTCTTGCGAGGGTCAACGGGGCCGTCTATCATACCGGGCGCGCAGACATTCATCCAGCGGAGAGCTATCGGACCGGTGTAAGCACGGCCATCTGCAATTATAAGGGTAATGAACGCTTACGGTCTTAACAGGTTGAGCATTGTCCCGTGGAATGCACCTATCGTGTTGACCTTGCGGGCCGTCGCTGTGCCCATTATCTGCGGCAATACCGTTGTATTGAAGACTTCGGAGGTCAGCCCGCGGACCCAGGCTATCATCGTGGAGACATTTATAGAGGTATATAGAGTCATTGTTTTGCTTCCTGCGCTCCGTGCTTATGGGAACGTGCAGGCTGGTGTCCCGAAGGGCGTACTAAATTTGATCAGTACAAACAAGGAGGATTCCCCTGCACGCACGTCAGAGATCATCGGGAACCCTATCATTCGCAAGATCAACGTAAGAAGAGACGTTTAACCAGGTAGTTTGGTCACTTGCTCACAGAGTTTACACAGTTTACGGGAAGCGACGTCGTCGGAAGGCTTATCGCCAAAGAAGCCGCCCAGTACCTCAAGCCCTGCGTGTTCGAGCTCGGAGGGAAAGCACCTGTGGTAGTGAGTATCCAGCTCGACGATGCGGACATGCAGCACTAAGACACCATCAGGTGCTGAACGATGCGGACATCCCACGGGCAGCGCGGGCCATCGCGTCTTCCGCCCTACTGCACTCCGGCCAGATTTGCATGTCGACTGAGCGCGTGATCGTTCAGCGCGGGGCAGCCGACTCGTTATTGGAGCATCTCACCACAATATTTAAGCGTATCAAGGCCGGCGACCCACACCTTGACAAGGCAGCGACCATTGGAGCGCTCTTCAACAAGGGATCCGCGGAGAATGCAATCAGCATGATCCAGGATGCGGTCAAGGACGGAGCAAAGGTGGTCGTTGGCGATCTAAGCCGGGAGGGAGCGATCATGCAACCACATCTGCTCGTCGACGTCAAGCCCGGTATGCGGATTTGGGATCGAGAGACGTTCGCACCGGGTACGTACTTGAGGTGCGGAATACAGGCGATAGTCTGATCTTTTCCTTCTAGTGGCCATTGTGGCTGTTGGCGACACCGTTGACGAAGTAGTCGACCTGGCAAACGCCTCCGACTACAGCTTGATCGCTGGGCTGTGGACGAAGGACGTTCACAAGGCATTCGACGTAGCGGGAAGGATCAACGCGAGTAGGTTGCTGTGTTGCCAGTATGGCCTTTGAGCTGACCAAATTAGGTACAAACAATATCAACGGCCCTACCGTGCATGTGGAACTAATAAGAGAGAACGGCGGTCTTGGGTGAGTGTTGGATAACCCTCTATGTGCACTGGTGTTTGACGGTCATGGATCGTTGCCATAGCGGGAGCACGGGTTACGGCCTGTTCATGGTCGAGGACTGGACGCAACTCAAGATGATCGTCTTGCACCCGGAACAGGAGCCGCCGTACCCATTGACCGCGACTATGTGAAGAGGGTTCTGAGAGATTTTGCAACAACTTCAGCGTACTGTATGATATCGTGTCTCTAGAGTAGATGAGAAATCGAGGCTTAGCTGTTCCGTCATACCACGCTGTCGTGACTGAATGGTTGTTTAATGAATAGTACCGGGATTGATAGTCTTTAATCGGGAGGTGTTCAGGCGGATGTAGCAGTGTCCATCCATAGGAATTTCCACAGGTTCAAGGTAGTGAGAGGAGGCGCGACCGCTGATCCGATAAACGAGACATTAAGCCCATACTACTATATCTATCTGAAGCTCAAGTCAGTCAATATGACGAGGGTGCTTGCACTCTCGGCGTGCCCTGCGTGTTGCATCTAGTGAATAGACTCACTATACAACATCACTCATTCTAGTCTCTCGTGAGGGGACATCGCAGTGTCGGTATGTCATGTATGAGAATCCGGTTCTAGAACGGGCTTGGAGACGGTCTGTACACGTTCGTACAGTTCGCGTTTCTGCATGGACCGCTGGTAGTCTTCTTCACGCTGTCGCATCTTTTCTCGCCGACGTTCGTCGTCTCTCAGAACTCCCTGGTACATGGTCTGTAATGCATTCAAGCTAATGTTATGATTCAAAGTAGGTTACCCATGACTCACATTACGCTCTTGCTGCTGAAGAAAGTGCACTCCCCAGACGATGAGCGCAGAGCCGCAGAACGCAGCTCCCAGGGTAAGTTTAGCCGCACGCGACATATGGATGTCGGCCGCGTTGAAGCGTCAATCCCAGAGTGTGTTCAAAGTGCGTCGGTGGGGCAGTCAGGCGCAGTGCAATGCGGAGCCAGATGGTGGTGGTGGACACAGTGACAATGCGGGAAGCGCCCATGCAGCCCTGAGCTCATTGTCGGCCACAGCGCCCGAGCCTTACTCACAACTTGAACCACCTCCCTCACCCACCGGGCTCGCTCGTCGACACACACTCTAGACATAGAACATCGCTCAAATGTCCTCACAACCTACAATACAAGACATCCTCCAGGTCCGTACAAAGCCCTTGTCGATCACTCAACCTCGCTAAACCGCCCCGATCCCCGGAATTTGCAGGCCGAGTTCTCTCCTCCACTCGACACCTCCCTCATTGCCGCCATCGTAACCGACTACGTCTTCGAGAACGAGGCCAACAGTAGCGATGAGCTCAAGCAGTTGCGCAAAGTCCTCAGCGATCTCGCTTCCTCCGCAGAGAAAGAGCTAGTTGATGCAGACTCTTTTCCCGACCCCACTCAGTTCAACATTCCACCGGCCTCTCTCGTCGATGACTCGTCTAGCTCATACGACTACTCCACTACCGACAACTCCGCCTATGCATCTACGAGCTCAGACGCTTCTGGGCAACAACCCTTCAGCTCCGCTATAGGCTTCCTTAAGGCCGTCTTCCCCCATATTCCGACAGAGAGGTTCAGAGGCGTGCTCGCGGCGCACGGTGGCGATAATGATGTCCTCGACATGGAGGTTATCGTGGAGGAGCTCCTCACAGGCGAGTACGTCCGTGAACTCGAGGAACGTGGCTTGGATGAGGCCGAGTCTGCTGCGTTGGGATACGAGGCACCGTGGGAGATCGTGGAGAAGAAGAAGAAAGGAATGAAGCAGAAGAAACCCAACAAGAAGGGCACCACCATCACCCTCGTGGATATCCGCCAACAGCAGCATGCTCGCCCGGTGCCGTCCAGTTCACAGCCAGCCCCACCGGACCCTTGGACACAATTGGCTTCGGTCGCCTCACATCTCTCCACCCTGATCCCCACGCACCCGGAGTCTTTTTTCTTGTCCATATTCCATTCTCCCCAATACCCCACCCCTTCGCATGCTCTCCGTGCAGCTATCGTACAGATCGCGAGATCATTGTCGAAGAGCGAAGATGAACTGAACGCGGATGAAACCCCATACCTGTATGCTATGCTCGAGATCATCACCACTTGGTCCAAATATGCCGATCTCAACGTAGAAGAACGCGATCAATTGCTGGAGGACGCGTTGTTCGCTCTTCGTGCCACGGGCCGGGACCCGAATTCAGCCCTGGACGTGGTGTCTCTCCTGATCGACCTCGATTCCGATTTCTCTTCCAGACAGTACACCTGGGGAGTCTACCACCAACCTGCGGCACCGACTCCTGTGCCTAAGACTACTGCCAGACTCCCGTCGGGCCCACCACCAGTACCACCCCCACCCAATATAGCCCGCCGTGCGCTTTCCAGTCCGACAAGCGAGAAGCCTCGTGTAGCGCCGAACGCGTGGCAGACGGTCCCTACGAAACCTACGCCCGATGGTCCGAACCCCTTGGCTGGCGTAATCCGCGCTTACAGCAAACCCGATACTATTCTGCCAACGCGTAAAGTACGCGGAAGCGGAAACGGCTTGGGGAAGGGCGGGAAAGGCGACGTTGGCGAGCTTCGACTGGGCAAACGCGCCGTGGCCAAGAGGCGGGCGTGGGAGCTCTCGGAGCAGAGGAGGGCGGCACTCAGAGAAGCGAGTAAGGCGTGGCAGAAGGGCAGTTCCAAGAATCACGGCGGCGAGGTCGCGTTCTACTTCGCTGAAAGGGTGAGTCTATCGGAAGATTTCCGGCTAGCGTCAAGGACTCACATGACTGTTTGGAATAGGCCCGCGAGCTGCAACAGCAGCAACAGAAAGAGCAGCTGGACACTGCCCGCGAGATGGTCTTACGCACCCGGTAGGTCATGCCTTATTGGCTAGCGAGAGTCTAATCGAAAATTTGCAGTACAACGCACCCAAATAGCGAGGTCATCGATCTGCACGGTACTACCGTGGTGGAAGCCGTCTCGATTGTACGCGAATACTTGGCGGAGCATGGGGCGACCTACGGTAGGCATTACCGGCAGCTCAGTCTTATGCTGCCTGCTCAACTCATCGGCCCTTTCAGCGAAAGCTCTGAAAGTAATCACTGGCCGTGGGAACCACTCACGCAATGGTGTAGGCGTGCTGGGACCCGCAGTGAGAAATGCCCTCATCACGGACGGCTGGGTCGTAGACACCTGTGACGGTGGTCTCGTCATCCGTGGACGCACGCGCTAAATTGCTAAGACTCGTGAGTGGTTCCTTACCAGCGTGAGCTCGACTTTTGACGCCACGAGATGCGCAGAACGCACCATCGCCGTCGCTAGACGACATATCTGGAGAACATTAGGTTTGTATATACCCGTGTACCCCTCGGACTCCCTGACTGTATCCATTAGTCCGATGCTCACTCATTCTACATATACATGTCCAAGTAGCAGTTTTGTATCGATGGCCGATCGTGTAGTACATTCCTCTAATCCTCATTGACCCTCCGTCCCAGTCTTCCTAGGCTCATCTTGCACTTCCCTCAGCGAGCAGCATTCCAGCATATCCAAGGATGCATCCGCGGCCTTGCGACGCGCCAAAGCCGTCCACCGGCCCTCGGTGTTATAATCTATCGGCGTCGGCGCGGAAGCCAGCGCCTGTGCGCACGACGCGGGCGCCGGTCAAATTGCCGCCACGATGCCCTTATGCCGGAGCCCCGTCTCCCGAGAACCGCACATCCGATCGACCTTCCAGCGGCTGACACCATTACATGTATTGCACGACTGACTCGATTTTTTGGGGTTCGTGAAAGGGCGGAGTCTAGAAATGCGCTTATTCACATACAAGATCATCGCACGCGGAAACACACCGAACGCCGCTGGATTCCTCGTCCCTCGATCCCTCGACCCCGCCACCACTCGCCAACGCTTTCAAGCCGTGTCCAGAAGTAGCGCAGCGTTCCGCCTAAAACGTTGCAGGGTGTATTGTGCCTTTTGGTGCTCCCGAAACCAATCGTTGTAGCGTTCACTGTAGTCGTGTGAGCCATGCCTGCAAATCGCGCGGCGGAAAACGCCCTCGGAACGATCGGTAAGTCATTCCGCTGCCCATGATTTTGACAATACAGCTGTGTTGCTATCGTGCTTCCGCGGATTACAGTATGGCTAACATGTTCGCAAAATGTTTTAGGTACCATTTGCTGGACCTTGCAACTTCTTCCGCAAATATGGTATAGCTACCGGACGAAATCCACAGAAGGACTGTCGGAGTGGCTCATGTACGATTCATATCAGCACCGTTACTTGCTCGATGTTGATGACTTGCTCTGCAGGTTTGCATGGGGCATGGCCGGCATATTCTTGGGAACGTATTCGGTAGTTCAGAACCTGAACATACCTCTGATCTTGCAGCCGCAGCTGTTCGGCGTCCTTTCGTTCGTATCGTGGGCGCAGGTACGCGCAAGTTCCGACTCGGCCCCCTTGAGACAGTGGTTCACTCAGATACTGAACAGTGCCAGTACTATGGTCGTAAACGATCAAAAGCCACAGCCATTGCGATGTACGTCGCAGCTGTAGCAATATTCGCCGGCTTCGAAGTCGGGATGATCTTCGCCATCTTCGTAGGTCGTCACCAGAGCTTCCCCGGTCCTCGTCATTGAATGTACCCGTGCGCAGCCGTCGTATAGGGCAGGGAACATGGCGCCCGTTCGGTTCTTCGGCATATTCAGCACGATATTGATTTCTGGTGCGCTTCTGTGCGTCGTCTTGATTTACCTCCTTGTTTCGAGTCTATTTCTCATCTCTCGGTGTTAGCCCGCAGTACTACGAAATATACAAACACAAAGAAGTCATCGGCATCTCGCTCATTTTCATGAGCGTCGATCTCTTGGGTGGCGTATTCAATGATCTCTCGCTTGCATTCAAGGACGAGTTCGACATCGTGGCCGGAGTCACCTATTCCCTCGTGGTGGTACGTCTTACAACCTATACCACCCGGTGTGTCACATATTTTAAAAACTGACGACGCGCTGCAGCTCCTCGACGGCATCGTCATTCTCTGCGCGTTTATTCTCAACCCATTGGCGCGGCGTCGTCGAAAGAGACTCGCCGCTGCTGAAAGCGCCGCCAGCGCGGACGTTGTACAGGCCCCGGTCGAGCCGATAGGTGACCTCGCGAACGAAAAGCCTCCCGAAGTCTCTGTCTCACAGTCAGCGGGCTCCGGCACTGTCCACGACAAAGAAAAGTCTGCGGAAGTCCGATGTAGGGAAGTTTAGAGTCGGGTTAGAAGATACAGGGATGGTGATGTGTGGGGCCGGTTTCCTTGCATCACGCTCATAACTACATTCACGCGTATGGGAAAAGAATAACGATTACGTCTCTAACGATGCTCACCACCCGCTAGCGAGCATGCCATTCCACCCGAATCCAGGAGAGGAGACGGCGTACGACGTCAGCCCGTATGTTTTACAAGGTACGCCTTTTCCTTCCTACTGAGTTCGCATTTATCTGGCAGCCTTGGGCGAAGCGCCATTCCCGGCCTACTGGGCGATGGACCTCATCATACCGGGCACCCGCAAGAGCAAACTCAGGGTGGAAGACTCGAATGAGCATGTCAAGAGAGTATACTACATGTGGGATTTGGATATAGTCAACGTCTACGACGCAAGAACTTACACGAACACGCAGATCATCCGCGCCAGGGCGGCCGTCCTCGTCCTTGGGCCTTCCGGGCCTCATCTCCAAGCTCTTCCGCCGCCGGCTTGGAACGCGCGACCAGGCTTTGGCTTCACAGTCAGGTGGCTGTTGGGTGTGTATGTTAGTAAATCTGGTGAAAGGTTGGACTCCCGAGTAAGCCGCACAATCCGCCTGCTCTACGACTTACAAACAGGGGATAGCATGAACTGCCGCGCTTGGCTGGATACGCTCAGGAGCGAGGCGGAGGTGGTGCGGCCCAGGCCTGGGTCGCAATGTTGAGAGTCTGGGCCATAATGACCTGAGACTGCTGGGTAGCCATCATGGCCTGAGACTGCTGGGTAGCCATCATGGCCTGAAGCTGCTGCCGCTGGTGCATCATACTGGCCCTGGATCTACGTAATGCAGCGGTTTCCTGTTCTTCTCTAATTCGCTCGCAGAGAACGAATGAGAGTACGATGGCGTCCAAGAATGGATACCCCTCTGGGAGGACGTCGATGCTCATTTTCCTTGACGGCCTCGTATGTTTGCGGTGCCCTCGCGCGATTAGCTTGTCCGTCAGGCAGTCGATGAGCTAGATCACCATATGTGCCGCCGAGTTGAGGTGCTTGTCACATGTCCCTTACAGTCGGGCTGCGCACCTTGTATCCCCCGCTTCCTAGTATCTCCCATTGCCACTCGTATGACCTCCCATTCGACGCAAGGAACGTTCGACCACTATGAACATACCCGAATTCAAGTTAACAGCCGAGTTGTATGTCAGAAGAGCCTGAAGGGCCCCAAATACTCACCATGAACCGCTTCTCTCGACCAGCCACTCTGCTAGTGTCATGGTCTGTCCGTGGTACGTCAACTCGTCGTGGGCCCAACCGGTCTTGTATTTCCCGACCATCCTGTCCTGCGCATCCCACAGCGTCGTGCTCCGCGAGCGAAACCCGATGGGGGTCGATAACTGAAACAGGTGTTCCCCGGTTGCGCTGTTTATGACGGGTGTATTCTTAGGACTGAAGGAGGGAAAGCTGACGTTCATGGTGTTCAGATGGACTTGGGGGAGACCGCTGGTGGGATTGGGCTAGTGCTGCAAAAAGCACTGAGCACGCAGCGCTCATCGGCTCGGATCATGGTTGTGTGTAGTCTCGTAACTAGACGTCATAGGGTTTCGCTCCTTCAATTTGGGACAGCGGAGAGCGAAAGACGAGAGGAGAGATTGGAAGTGCATCCTGTACGTTTGTAGTACAAGGTACTACACCTTTCAGCTCGTGCTGAGTTTCCGTTGATCTGGCAGCTTGTGTGAAGCGCTGCTCTCGGTCTACGGGGGGGTTGGTTTCATCGCATCGGGCACCCGCGAGAGGAAGACCCCGGGCTGGGTGCTCGTTTGGGCATATCAAAGAGTATACATGTCGGATCTGGAGGTCTGATAACCACAACTCTAGATACTAGACAAAAGTCCGAACAAATCCTCCGCGTCAGGGCCGCCGTCCTCATCCTCCCGTGCCTCATCTCAAAGCTCTTCTGCCGAATCGGAAGGTACGATCATGTTTTGGCCGCACGTCAATCAGCTGTTCAGCGTATAATGTCAGTTGATGTGGTGACGCACTCAATCCCGGACAGCCACACAGCCAGCACGTTGTGTAACTCACGCAGAGGACCATATGATGTGCCGCGCTTGGCTGGGTAGCGTTCAACAGCATGGCCCTGAAGCTGCCGCTGCTGCCCAGGACTGGCTCGCGATCATATTCATGCTGTTGATAGCCGCTGCGGCGTAAATCGCCTGGTTATAACCACGAGACGTTAATGTCCCAGTCGGTTTGTCCCGGTATTGGGACACCGCTGTGGCTGAGGTCCGCCGCCGGCGTCTATTCGCGCGCATGTAGACTCCGACGCCTCGCGCCACCGCGCGCGCCCTCCCCGCCTCGCGCGACCTTGCGCGCGTCGTCGCGCGCATATCGTCGTCGCGCGCGCGCGCGCTTGTGGCGTCGTAGAATACCCCGATCGAGACTTATAGCATTTATTGTACATATTTACATAGAGAGGAAGCAGAATGAAGAATACAGGCTACTCACGGCTTTTGGAATAGCGATAGCCGTGTACATTTGTAGGCTTTCGGCTTGTCCTCGTCCGCGCGCGTTCGTAATCGGC